TCCCACCCTCCCTCTCTCTCTCTCTCACTCATACTCACACATACAAACTTCATTGATTTATGTAAAAATCTAATATAAGAACACGTATAGTATCCACACATCTGTATTTTCATAGCTATCAAATGGAACATACATGTACGATTAACAAAAATGTACAATTAATGCCAACGGACATTAAACAGTCAATGCTTTACGACAATTTAATTCATGCTGTATATATTCATCGTCGAGCTATAGAGTTAGTATTAAATTATATTATATTATTCCTTTGCACTCATAACCTACTTTGCCTGGACAAGACAAAATTAATGTCGCGATATATTACAAATATGTATTTGTGTTCATATACCAGTTATCAAATCGTCAACACTAAAAACAGCAGAATTTAATAAATTGCCATTTTTTAAAGTAAATATGTCTAAAAATCCTTGCAAAAAAGGCTGAGCGCAAAGGCCAAATATTATTGTTATGAATGAAAATTAATAAATATTTCGTTGTTAAAGTTCAGCCAATATTCTAACGAACAGTTTTTCGATGTTCTATATCGTGTTATTAGTATGTTCTGTGGCTTACTCGAGTCTCAGTTTCTGCAATGTAAGCGTAAATGCAAAAGAACAGAATATTATATCGTCTGTGCGAATAAAAGTTAATTATTATTATGACTTCCAAATATAAAACTACAGAAAAGTTATAAAATTAATAAATAATGTTCGATTCAAGGTAATTAATGCAGTAACATCCTGGGAAAAATTGGACGTATTTATAAACAGTGTAGTGATATTGATACAATTATATTGGATTTTCCTGGGAAATTATGTTGGTCAGAACATTATAGATAGCAGCACTGCCATGTCTCAAGCGACGTAAGTAAACCCATTTGATTATTTAATAATATCATTTAATCGAATATATTAATTTGTACTAATTGCTGTATATGTATATTTGTGTATGTAATAGATATAATGCACATTGGTACGCTGCGCCATTATGTATGCAAAAGTTAATACCACTCATAATACAAAGAAGTAACAAACACAGTGTTTTAACAATTGGAGTTTTATTTGACGCGTCGTTAGAAGGTTTTGCTACGGTAAGGAATATTACCGCTAATTTAATTTTGATAAATTCAATGACAGAAAGAGATTGTAAATATTTATTAGTCATAATATTTATAGCTTCTAAGTATGTGCATATCCTATGTTATGGTTCTTCAATCCATGGGAACACACACCGAAAGCGAAAAGAAGTAATAATTACGTTGTAGGTATCCGAGTCGTAGGTCTAGCATATGTACAGTACATTTTACATGTACTATCCCACATATTCATTAATAAATTAAATCGAACTAAATAATAATACAATGCATTTTTTAAATTATTGCTATTGTGTCATAGATTAAGACATATTTTTGGATTATTTTTTATCTTCCTTTTCCATCATTAACAATAATATCAATTAAACATATCTTTCTAATATAATTTCCCTTTTTCGGTGCACATATTTAATATAATTTACTTTTATATTTCTTCAATATAACATAATATGATAAAGCACTAAATATATAATACATAAAACTTAATGTCGCCTTCATGATTCAACACTTCAATAGCCTGAGCGCAAATAAAGGCTCACTAGCAATCCTTGAGGAAAACTCAACAAGGCGTCCGCGTGAGAAGAGGATATTTCAGAAGAGGAAAAACTACTTCCTGAGAAATAGGGCCCAATCTGGGTCACTCTAACCAAACCTTACATCTCCTATAGAGAGCGCAAGCTTGACTAACATTTTTGGAAAGCGCATTCGGGCATAAAAAATTAATCCAAAAAACTGTAAACCGACAAATATAAGTCGTATCAAAAGTTTCGTCGACTTCTTTTCGAGCGAACTTGCGGAACCAGAGAGCTTTCAAATGTTGTGACTCACCCTGTATACTTCTTTGAGTATAGGGACACGCTGTGTCACTGCGCGGCGTTCGGGTGCGAATTTACACATGAATTACGCAGCCATAAGTGACAGATATACATATGTACGCACGTGAGTACGCTACACATCTACGTGCGTCACGCACAGTTTCATACTTCCGCTGTACTCTGTAAGCGCCTTTGACACTATTCCCCACGCGCATCGATATTTCTTTCAGCTGAAGGATGAAGTTCTCCTAATTAGACGAATCGTTACACAACAATCATCGCGTTAACAGGAATAATAAAGAGCAACGTCTACCGATTGTAGAAGTAATGGAACGGTGCATTGTTGAACACACATTGAAAGGGTAATAAGAAATGGAGAGGTAATCAATACGTACCTTCTCCTTATACATGAACAATGACACATGTTATAATCTGAATTTTCCACACTTCTGCAAAACATTGGTTGCATTACTGCACTGTCATATCCAAATTTTTTAATTCAGATTTTTAAATTCATTAATAGACACAAAATGTGAAAAGTGTTGCTATTGTACGTAGAAGGAAGTCGATGCGTATCATAATAAAGTGATGGTTAGGTATAATGATATAAAATGGTGATAGTTACCCGTAAAGTTACCCGTAAAACTTATAGTGTTTGATATAAAAAGACATCTATTTTTAAGGAAAAAGTATACGATGTATTTTACTAATTTTGGTAATGCCATTTCTATTGACTTATTCGTTTTATAGTTGAGGCGGGAGAAAATCGAAGAAATTTATTCTCTTTATTTACTACACACACCTATTTCCCCCTTGCCGGTGTTTTATGCATTTTTTACATCTGCTATTAATCCCACGGCAAACTGAACGTCATCTTCACAATTATCTTATGAGACTAAAAAAGAAAAATTTATCGTCTACCTAAATTCGATACATGGAGGGGGAAACACAGGTTTGCAGCGTTAGGCCTGACATACGCATTTCAGCTTTCGTGGAAGATGGACTTGGGTGGAGAACGATATTATATGCTGAATAGAATTCTTATGTCGTGTCTCGGTCTGTGGCCTGATGACATTTCAACTTTCAAGAAAGTACAAATAATGTTTTATCAAACGTTATTCATATCTTTCCTAATATGTCAGGTATTCAATTTCTTATTCCATATGTATTTTACTTATTTAAATAACTGTTTATGCCAAATCGTTGTGATATAACAATTGACAAGTCTCTATAATATTAAATAAATACAGTTTTATTTAAATTAATGTTTGTTTACATTTTTGCTATAATCTTTCAATAAGGTTACTGCTTTCAGTGCATTCCATTGTTTATAAAACAGTACAGCATCGTGTGTATTATTAAAATGTTGTCATATATTATTATGACTTGTGTATCTATTCTGACGTATAACACATGTCTGCTACTCAACGATAACGTAAGTGTTCACTTGGTTTTATAGTATTTGAAATTCTGCTCATATAAGATTTTTTGTTAAAATAATATTTTTTATCGATTTTAGTTTTTCTATTTCCAATTTTACTTAACATCGTATGACATACAATAATTATTTAATAAATTAAAAAATATTGAATTAAATATTATTAAAAAAACATTACAATTACGTGAAAATATAAAAAGTATCCCATAGGACACATAATTCCCCTAAAAACTTACAGAATAAAATAATTTATTTGTGATCATAGATCAAATATATCTTCGATAGAATTCAATACGATTGGAATATGTTAAAAGCTCAGGCAGAATTGGAAGTTTTACGAAAATATGCAAACGGAACAAACTTCTATATAATCTGTGTTTTTCGTAAGAAACAAAATCAAATGTCAATCGTATCAATCAAGTCCTTTTCCTAGTATATTATTTTTATGTGAATGTTAATTTAGTTTATAAGCATTACACTTTATATTCATATCATTTATATTCGAATGTTTTAAAAAGTTATGTAAAATAGATTGATGTCAATAGTATTAATCTAATATCTGTTGTATTTTTTCTCTGTATTTCTTATACTTTTTTAGTAAAATATAAAATATATTACTTTTCATACTACGTCCACTACATGTTGACTATATCATGATTTATTTGCTTCAGTTACGAGTACGAGCACTTCGTTGGGATATGTTATAATAAATTGTTTTCCCCGTGTACTTGATGTGTTTATACCAATGAATGAATCACGTTCGCTACAAATGATAATTACTCTGGAATACTTTGTCGACGAAGAAACATACTTTTTCGCTATTTTGACGCATATGTTCTTAACTTTTTATGTTGGATGCAGTGCAATAGTAACTATTGTAACAGTGCATCTAATATACATTTCGCACATTTGCGCTTTGTTTAAAATCGCCAGGTAAAATAAGAATCTTAAATATCTCGAAAAATTACAGGAAGTCAAGGCCAAGAGATTCAAAGTAAATACATTAAATTGTGTTTGCTATAAACAATATATTTGACATCGCATAAAACAATAGAAATCTTTAAAATAAGATACTTAAAATAGGAATAGACAATAGACAAACGTTTAGAACAGTTTCTTTGAACATCTTCGGCGTAAAAGATAAAAAGATCTAGTATATCTAGTACGAAGTAATATATGTTATAATGAGTTAAAATAATTAAAGAAAGAAAAACATATAAAACGTATTATAGTTATACATTTTAATACATGTTAATCAGTCCAATTAACAAAATTACAATAAGGTAAGCTATACAATTAAAATTAAAAATATAAAGTGGCAGAAGAGATGAACGCTGATGTTTAGACATCTTAGAATCGTAAAACGGCCGAATAAAACGGTAAGAAAAAACGTTGCGATATGTTAACTAAAAAAAATTAGGTATAAATGTGAGAATGAGAGGAAATAATGGTCTGATTTATTCTGGTTATAAACATGTTATTAAAGATATCGCCGTTTTTATTCTTTCATGCGATGCGATTAAATATATTGTTTTAGCGAATTTATTTCAATTTATTTACTTTGACCCTCATGGCCTTAACCCACTGTAATATTTATATTTGAAGTCATTAGTCGTTTTTATTCTGAAAACACACACCCACACACACACACGCACGCGCAAACGTGCACACGTTCGCGCACAGGCACACACTCCCCCGTCTACCTTTAGTCTCTCTCACCCGCCACACCACTCTCTCTCTCTCTCTCTCTCTCGTACTCACATATACAAACTTTATTGATTTATGTAAAAATCTAATATAAGAACACGTATAGTATCCACACATCTGTATTTTCATAGCTATCAAATGGAACA